TGAGGAATTTCAAGAACTTCCCTGCTCAGAAATCAAACCTGCTTGTGAACTTATGTCCATCCTGGTCAGAAAAATAACTCGCTTAATCCTGAATGTCATTCAAAGATAGTCGTCGAATTCCGCAAGAGCACGATTACCCAGCTATGAAAGGAAATTTTCTGGTACCATCAATGGAAGCTGAACCAACCGAGCCGATGCATGTGCCTCATGGATAAACACTTGTTTCATCAATGCGACAAGGAAAAAATGACTCATAATGTCGGTGTTATTTTCGAGTGCTATGAGGCATGTACTAGAAGGAAATAATCCAGCGAGAATTCGGAAAGATCCAAATTTGTTGAAAACCCAGCATATATCTTAATTAGTCATCAATAAAAATTGAATTTGTTCGAGAATTGCCAGTTCTCATTTATGCATCAATGGAGTCACTTGTTTAATGAAAAAATTCTATAGCGAACCCACGCATGTACATAGCCAGTAGATACTGAAATTTTGAATAAAAGTCTAATTACTGGTGGATTTCTGAACAGAAGTGGAATGACGGTTTTTACGGTCCAACCTCATGTGTTTTCCTTCACTGCTTCAATCCCCTCCAGAAAAACGATGACTAACTTCGTCCACAACTCGGTCCTCTCTCACTCAATGATTTTTAAAGACACTCGGTTTTTGCAAACTCGAACAGCAGAGTCTGCGGTGCTGATGAAGTGCAATGACCGCCGAGAGTGATTTTGCAATAGGGCTCCATCTGAGGTGCTGGATCCGTTCCGGTTGGAGCAAAATACGTGCAAGGCAGGAGACGGATTGGGTAAGCAAACCCACTCTTTCCCGTTATGTGGAGCAGAAAACGGAACTCAGGAGGTGTCTCGAATAGCCCTTGAACGAGTTTGACCGTAGGTGCGATGCCAGGTAGCGATGTTGCCACTTGGTCCTAGTAACTGGATCTGGACCGTTCCCACCGTGTCTTTTGTTCCTCATGGCTCCGTCAATTATCAAAGATCTCGCCTGACAAGGTGGGAGCCTTGATTTGTGTTTTTGTTTTTCATTGAATTGACGAGTAGTATTCTCTCGGTCTTCGTAAGAATTAATCTTTCTTGAGCAACTTCTAGATTGAATTCTAGTTTTCTCCATTGGCTAGCATTGATGCTGTGCAGTCAGATGATTGCTCAAAGGATCAAATTGGCAAGT